CACGATAGCGCTTTCAAAGGAGGAATGAAGATGTACGATTTATGGATTTCAAGTCAGCAGAGCCATCTAGAAGGTTCAACTTTCATTCTACGGTTTCTCTTGTGCAAGAAATGCTTTCGAATACAATAATACACAAGAGAATATAGCTAGAGATAAACAATTCCAACATTAAAAATATTTTTGTAGATAATATATTTTATTCCAGTATGAAAGTAAAAATTTCAATACCGTAGTTCAATATTTCGCGAAGAGTTTAAATTTTGAGATTCAACAAAGTTGCAATATAAATTTTAAATAAAAAATTTTATATACCGTGTGAGAAATCGACGATAAAATTTATCAGTAAGATAAAATTGCGGTGTAATATTGCATCAAAGCAATTAAATTTGATAACTTATCGCATCGTATCAAGACTTCGTTAGAGTTCCTCTGCATATTTTTATATCGAGCCTCCTCATTAGTAAGATTTTCAAGGGTGCTGCTGGCAATTGTGGCATGAATCATCTTACTAGGCCTCAGTCGTCTAGAAAAAAAATCTCGTAGTAGTGATATATCCTTCACAATTCCTTATACTTCTACATTTTTTTCCAAGGGAAAAGAAAGATTCACGCCTGTTACAACAACATTTTTGTAGAATTTGTTTGGGATGCACCGCGATAGAATAGTCCATTGCTAAGCTTACGTACTTTTCTCCAAAAGCAATCAAATGTCTTATTTTATATATATATAGTATTGGTTGACTCGATAAAAGACAAACGGACTATTATGATCTGTAAATCTTACATAAATAATTAAGTCACACGTTCAATTTATAATCAAATAAATTATAAATATAATTCAATTACTTTGAATCAGATCACATACGTGTATCGTTCATGTTACGTGTTTCAACGACGCATTTCAGGAAAACGTAGAAGCGTAGTTAAGTTCAATTGAGATACCATGAATGGAGTTGAAGTACGAAATCGAAGGCGATATTCAACGTGACCCAAATGCGATTTAAAGCGTTCGCGGATACAAGTTTCTAGTATTTCGCGAAGGCCAAAATTGCTTTTCCAGATTACTGCCTTTACGCTCGATCTTGTTGCACACACGAGATTAAGACGTACGAAGTCCGTGTTGTGTGGGATTATTCAGTGACGGTTATTTTTCAAGTGACTGGTATTTGCATTGCCATTAATAGAAATCTATAAAGAACGACTTGTACACGGTGTCCCGTTAGCATATGATTCCGAGATCTTTATCAGAAAGTGGTTGTTGTTTATTCAACTGATTTTTTGTTTTCTAAATGTTGATAAAATCGTTCTGCAGCTAGATGATCGGAGGAAGCCGACATATTCGTAACAAGCATGGTGTTCCCGACAAAGACGACCATCTTATCTGAAACGAGAGAAATAAAGTAAAACAGGAAATGTCTTATGAATGTAATGTTGAACTTCATGATAAATTTTCGTTGTGACTATCGTTTTTGCTTATTGCAGAGTTCAACTCACCGTAAGTGCGATCTACTACGTCTGTTGGGATGCATCTGAAGTACCATTTTTATTTCTATCTGTGATGGAATTCAACCATAAGGAAGACTCCTTGACTTTTTATCGTATTTATGCAAATTGCTTCACGGTATTTTGGATAACGTTATTGGTACTAAATACTGATGCATTCCACAGTTTCTTAAACAGTATTTCTTTTATTTAGTATTTATACAAATACTTAAATAGTAATTCTCTTACTTAAATCTTCGTCATCCGTGTCATGTAAACGGGATATTTTTGTATTACTTTATGCAGCTTATCACTTCTTAAAAGAGACTATTTTCTTTAGAGAAACTCCGTATATTAATTTAATCGGTTGAATTATCGATGGATGATAAATAAAATGATAGTAATCATTATGCTGATTCATAAATTTGCTAGAAGTATTTAATTCGTTGCGTTATTAATAACTCATTATGTTATAAGATAAATTTTATATTTTTACCAAAAATTTTGGAGACTGTTGTGCTCAAGCATCGTTATTCAAATATTTCCCTTTTGTACATTAATTTGTATATCCAACTGACTAGATGGTTATTAGAACGTATCGAGAATTCTTAACTCAGACTGTCAATGCAAACGCCGCCTAAGGAGTTCACGAAGATTAATTATCCGTCGTTAAATTATGCAAGCTTAATCCCGTGTCTGGCTGCAATTCTGCGCGATCTCCACGGTCATTAAGAAACATACTGCGAAATCGTTAGGAAATACTTCCCAATATTAATGACTTCCTGCAGCAGCCTGTCGACGAGTTTCCAGAAATTGCTCTCTTAAAATATAATTGCTCCGCGGAACAAGAAGCGTCTTTGTAAAGTATGCGAGTCGCGTTTGCAACGTCGTAATATCACGTGCCCCAGCAGAGCCGTTGGTCTTCGAACGCTCATGGGCACAATATAAACCTTTCTTCGACTCCTGTGCGTCCCATTCCCTCTCTTCCCGCTCACAGCCGGCTTGATTAATCTCCGAACCTTTACTCGTCACTCCGCGATAGACATTTTTCTGGGTCACGTCATACTTTCTTCTCTGTTCGAGCTCTATGAGCAAGTTCGCAGCTACCGCCTTCGATACCGATTCACCGAGGCTCTGCCTCGTGTGAATCGTGTTACGTTACAATGGCAGAGATAGTTAGAAAGTCGTAAGCCAAGGAGCTGCTTAGAATCCGTACCTTAACTGTCAGGGAGAACTGTCCTCTTTTTCGCGCTCATTGTCTGTTCGCGCATGCCTGATCGTTCAGCTTTGTTTGATTATGTTACGGTTTTCAATGTGGCGGGAAATTCAACTTCGTTTAAGGATATTTGCGGACGATGTAGGTTGTTTTCTAGGTGCAATCGTGTAAAATTGTATTTACTTTAGTGTTTGATGTTGTGTGGAAATGTATCACATATATTTCTATGAAAATGACCGAATAGGATTTATACTTTGGATGGCAAATTCAATTTTCCTCTCAACTCAATTAATTATTTGCAACGTATCTCTTATTTTTAGAAAGCATCTTTTGGAGATTCAATGTTGCTTATTCTTATTTATCTTTTAGCGTTACAATATTGCTCACTCAATTCTATACAAGTCATCATGTAAATACATACAAGATTATAGTATATTTTTAATATTCTATTATTTTTCTGAGTTTCCATATTATTACAACCATTTTCGTTAATTACGTTGACTTTTTCCTAGTTTCTCCGTTTCGTTCCCCCTTTTTTCACACAGTATCGTTACACTTCCTGGGGAAAAAGTGTGACCGTTTCTCGGCGTAAGAAATCGTAAACGCGTGCAGCCTGCCGCGGGGTAACGCAGTAACGCCAGATGGAAAACGGCGGGTCACGGTACAGTAACGTGTACTGTTAAAGAGAAACACACCGAGCAAATCTGTCGAGCGTGCTCTTTGCTCCCTTCTTTTCTCTTTCTTTTTTCTGTTCCTTTTTTCTTCCTCATCTTCTTCTTTCTCATCTTCTTATTCTCCCTTTACTTTCTTTTTTCCTTCCCGGTTTTGCTTCTGTCCTCGCGTGCCAGGGATATTAATAGTGCTCGGTTACGAGACATCGGTGCGAATAAGCTTTGCATAAATTACGCGAAAAAGGGGAACACACCGGTTCGACGATCGAGAATTTCGCCGACTATCTCCGTCACGATCTACCCTCCTGGTTAACGTAAATCTCGTTGCATCGTCGAAGACAGATAATCTGCTGTCGGGACTGACCCTCGTGGAAAGCACGCGGCTCCTTTGACCGATCTGATTTTCCAATCGGCTGCCCCGTTCTTCTTGCAGAACCGATTTACGTCGTCGTGTCGTTTGAAACACTCAGCTACCTGAACACTGGGGCGTTCGTTGCCTTTTATCCTCCCAATCGGGGAGAATTATCGAGGAAGAACAGAATCGAATTGCTGTACCGATTCTAGCGAATTTCTCATGGAGATAATTGGAAGATAATATATGAAAGCTTATATGCTGCAATCTGTTCTTTTGTTGCTCTAGATGTGCTTTATTCTGTGCTTAAATTTTGACGACGTATCGAAATAGAATTGTTTCTAATTTTTCATCGTGGAGTTTTAATTCTGGAATTATAAAATTAGTCAAAATGATTTATTTCGAAGGTATCTATGATAATTCATTCATGGTCTTATTTTATATAGGAAAATATTTCTAGCTAGAAATGTAGGAGGTAATAAGAACTTTTAATTACTTGTGATTCCTGAAGGATTCGTTTGATAGGGATTTGTAATCCTAGTGTTACAGCTTCTCGAAGATTTCTGTCGTACGTGACATTACATTGTCGTAGAGAGTTGCTAATAAATGACGTTTCTTTTATCCTATGACTCGACATTTCCGAGCCAGATGGTAATCTGCGAAAGAAAGATTCGATGAATAATGTGAACGAGAGAGAAGTTTGTCATTCAGTTGCAATTTCTTATACAGTTGCATGATCAGAGCAATTCGTGACAAAACAAAATTCGTTCTTTGTTCGTTCAGGATGCTTCCTCTATCCATTTATAGTTTAAATTTCTCCTTTTTTAGAAACCAGTTTCTGTATCACAATGACATAAAATAAATACAGACTGCACAGAAAATATTTTTGATATGGTCACAGCGAAGAGAAATATTTAGTGGCAACATTCAACTAAACCACCCTGTATATTCAAAGCAACAAATTATGGCTATTAATTTAACGATACTTCAGTAATCAGAATTTATAATTGCTTATTCAAATATATTTCTGAACTACGCATATACTGCAGCATCAAATATAGCCATCACCACTTCTAATATTAGACTTTAGCGACGCTTCATCTATGTCCACAAAGCAATAAAAATAAAACTACCATCGCTCTTATTACTTTCAATAAATAGATAATTATCCTAATCTATCTGTAATAATTTGTAATAATCTGAATATAATCTATATAAATTTAATATCACTGAATAAACAGAAATCGTTTACAACATTCTTTCTCCTTTTTTTCAACCACGCTTCTAACAAATACACGCTTCAAACAAATACACGCTTCATAGAACGGACAGTGACAAATCTATCCTAACCTAGAGAGTTACTCGCGGTCGCAATATACCAGCAAGCGCAAGAGAAGTCGAGCTTCGCGCGCGACGATTTAGTAGATTCACTTTGGCGTTAATAAACTGCATTCTTGGCCGCGACGATACACTCTTCTTCGTTCTCGATTACTATAATTAACACGAGTATCACCGCGGTATCGCTTACCAGTGCCGATATAATAAGTTTTAATTAGCCTCAATTACAGATTCAATTAGTTCGCACGTTCGCGCGCTGTCGTGGCTTCATTCGGTTACAAATTGAAGGAAAGCCTGGCCACGGCGTTTTACGGCCGACCGTTTCACGCCCTGCGTTTGTCACTTTGTCCTGTTCGTCTGCCTGTGCCTGGTTGCCCAGAGTCGTGAGCATTATTCTTTTTTTCCGTCGTTCTTGTTAAGTTGATATCTTTAGACGCGTGGAACGGGGCGAGGCACCTTGCGGTTTTCTTTGGCGGGGCGGAGAGCGAGCGTCGAACCTCTGGGGACATGGCCTACGTGCACGACACTGTTGTGGATGACGAGAGCGGCACTATTTGCTTTCGATAGTTCCTTCACAAACTGATTCGTTTTTGCAGCACTAGGGATTTTTAGTTACCAAAAACTTGCATCGTCTTAGAAAGAATATAACTTTTACCGTAACCTAACGACAAAAATTCTGCACATGACCATCAACTAGAACAGATTATTTGAGTAGCGTTATATATAATAGAATGAGTTAATATTAGAATTATCAAATTGAGCAGGACGGCTGACTTCATATTTATTTTGCTAGCGGACGTTTACTATATGTTCTCTACAACATATAATTAGACAAATTTTATAAAGTGTGATGGTTTGAATGATTGCGTTGGAAGATGTAAATGTGATTGCAACAATAATAGAAAGAAATGCATTTCCTTTCCACTCAATCATGATCCAACTCATATTAGGTAAAATACTTCAGATAATTCTATTATAACTTACTGCTATTTATACACTAATGTATTTATTTTAATACTAAATATTCCGGATTACGTTTCTTAAATGAAGTTCGACAGAATTTTCATATCTGCCATTATTTTACTTGTAAAAGTAATGTCAACCAAGGTCACCACCTACCCAATCGGGAACAACGTCATCAGTGATCCCTTCCTTTCCAATCACTGTGCGTGGTTCGATTGTTATCTGATACATTTTAGACAAAGAGCTTACAGCCTTGTTTCCTTTGCTTTTGAAACGAATGTAAGATAGGACAAACCCGAAGAAAATGGAATAAAGTAACTAAAAAGTGCGATGGTAGAGATATAACCGTATGCGATCTTGAGGAAGCGATTAATTTTGCACATTAAATACTTTTAACATTATATATGACTTTTTTAAATTTATGGTGTAACAGATACAACATAAAATATCTCTATAGTATTTAATAAATATGTAGAAATTTTAAAAAATGTTAATCTCTGTATAAAGGACTAAACACATTAATGGAACATTATTTTTGTATGTATTCTGAAAAATAGCTTCAATATCCCTACGTTTAAAAATTGCATTGCAGTCCATACAAATTTAAAAGTATTAACGATAAATACACATAGTCGAGTATAAATATTAATCTGTTTGAAAATTTGACTCCTAACACGCATTCCCCAAGGATCTTACACAGCAATCTAAACATCGGATTAGCAGTTCATCACAAATCGACTTTCGCAAAGCGTGACCAATGAATTTACTGAGAGCGGT